TGAAACCCCTGACCTAATCCCATTTATTCCTCTCCATTGAAACTCTCCCACCCCCTTCAGCTTTGTTTCACTTAAAGCCAGGACATCCAGTTTCTTCTCATTCATAACATCCACAATCATCTCTTTCTTATCATTTGCACAACATCCACGCACATTCAGACTTCCCACTTTGACAATTTTCTTCTTCTTATTCTTTTTAGTAATCTTTACAGGAAAAGGGGTTACTAGCCCATTGTTCCCGGCATTTTAGTTGACTTTTACAACACGCATGGCTTACGGAGGAAAGATTCTTATTCCACTTCCCCATGGATATAAAAGGAAAAGTAATAAGACCAAGAACTATTAAGATAAAATCAAAGAAAACTCAGATGAGTGTGTATAAATAAACGTGTACATGTATGTGTAGTGTGACCTAAGTGTAAGTAGAAGTAGCAAGACGTACCTGTAATCTTGCATATTTATGAGACAGACAAAAGACATCAGCAATCCTACCATCATGTAAAACAATTACAGGCTTTCGTTTTACACTCACTTGGCAGGACGGTAGTACCTCCCTGGGTGGTTGCTGTCTACCAACCATACCAACCATACATGTACAAGCATATATATATACACACCCCTCTGGGTTTTCTTCTATTTTCTTACTAGTTCTTGTTGTTTATTTCCTCTTATCTCCATGGGGAAGTGGAACATAATTCTTCCTCCGTAAGCTATGCGTGTTGTAAGAGGCGACTAAAATGCCAGGAGCAAGGGGCTAGTAACCCCTTCTCCTGTATATATTACTAAATGTGAAAGGAGAAACTTTTGTTTTTCCTTTTGGGCCACCCCGCCTTGGTGAGATACGGCTGGTGTGTTGAAAGAAAGAAAGAAGAGTTGCAGTACAAAGAGAGCCACTATCATGCCATGGCATTATGGGCAGACTAAATTTAATTGCTTACAGACTACTTAATACTAGAGAAATTGATCATAATTTTCTTTTAAGTTGTACATCTGTTTTTATTTACAGCAGACAGTAAGTTTACTCAAATTACAATCTGGGAATATTACATTGGAACAAGTTGAAAGTATTTTGTAAGTTGTGTATGCCAATAGTTAATATTTAAATTATATGGGAATATAACATTGAGCATTGTTGAAAGTAGTTTACAGTATGAGAATGCTACAATTTGGTGTAAGGCAGTATTGTTTTGGGCAGGTATTTAGTATTAACCTAGGTAGTAGGTTGGTAAACAGCAACCGCCCAGGGAGGTACTACCATCCTGCCAAGTGAGTGTACAACGAAAACCTGTAATTGTTTTACATGATGGTAGGATTGCTGGTGTCTTTTGTCTGTCTCATAAACATGCAAGATTTCAGGTATGTCTTGTTACTTCTACTTGCACTTAGGTCACACTACACATACATGTACAAGCATATATATACACACCCCTCTGGGTATTCTTCTATTTTCTTTCTAGTTCTTGTTCTTGTTTATTTCCTCTTATCTCCATGGGGAAGTGGAACAGAATTCTTCCTCCGTAAGCCATGCGTGTTGTAAGAGGCGACTAAAATGCCGGGAGCAAGGGGCTAGTAACCCATCCTGCCAAGTGAGTGTACAACGAAAACCTGTAATTGTTTTACATGATGGTAGGATTGCTGGTGTCTTTTGTCTGTCTCATAAACATGCAAGATTTCAGGTATGTCTTGTTACTTCTACTTGCACTTAGGTCACACTACACATACATGTACAAGCATATATATACACACCCCTCTGGGTAGTCTTCTATTTTCTTTCTAGTTCTTGTTCTTGTTTATTTCCTCTTATCTCCATGGGGAAGTGGAACAGAATTCTTCCTCCGTAAGCCATGCGTGTTGTAAGAGGCGACTAAAATGCCGGGAGCAAGGGGCTAGTAACCCCTTCTCCCGAAAACTTTGAGGGTTTTCGTCGTACTAGTACGTCTTACGCGTAGGGATTTTTGACGTACTAGTACTCATAAATTCTAGCGACCTCAAATCTAGTGGGAGAAAGCTGGTAGGCCTTCATATGAAAGAATGGGTCTATGTGGTCAGTGTGCACAGTCTAAAAAAAATCCTGCAGCACACGGTGCATAATGAGAAAAAAAAAAACTTTTTCCATTTTTTTTTAATAAATCAGCGACTTTGCAGTGTATTTTCGTATAGTATTTATTGTTGTATTCTAGTTTTCTTGGTCTCATTTTATAGAATGGAAGACATATTACTGAAATTGAGATGATTTTGACTGGTTTTACAATGAAAGGTGCCTTGAAATTGAGCTCAAAGTAGCAGAAATGTTCGATTTTTACCAAACTTCAAAAGTAAACAAATCGTGCCAAGCATGCAATACACGTCAACTGGTGAGTCTAATATTCTTTCACAAGTGCACCAATAATATTTATACCATTTTTTACACTAATGCAGTAGTCTGCATAACAGTAAATCTTATATTTTTTGTGAGAATAAAAATTCAAAGTGGAAAGCAAAAGAATATAAAGGGGCCTTGAGACGTGACTAATGACTAGAGGAAATGTCATTTTAGTGCCAGGAATGTCTTTCTTGTTTATTCTGGACCCTATTCCGAAATTGGCATCTTTTGAAATTTGTGTGAAATTGGCAAAATTGCTAAATTCTGACCACTGTACTGGATAGTTGAATTTATAAATGGGTGGTTTCTTGCACCCATTCGATAGAAAAAATGGAGTTCTAGCGAAATATTCATGTTTTTTGTCGACTAGTACAGTGAAATTGGCCGCAAATGGGGCTCAAAGTGGGCAAAATCGCCGATCCGTAAACATCGCCGAGACCGATAACTTTGCGAGAGCATAATTCCGTAAGTTTTCTATCAAATTTCAAACTTTTGGTGTCGTTATGATCGGGAAAAGATTCTCTATCTTTTCATAAGAGAAAATAATTTTTTTTTTTTTTAAATTTGGCCGACCCTGAGAACGAGTTTCGGAGAGGGCCTGTCGACCCTCAAAGGGTTAAAAGAGAAACTTTCGTTTTTCTTTTTGGGCCACCCTGCCTTGGTGGGATACGGCCGGTGTGTTGAAAGAAAGAATTTAGTATTAAGTAATGTATGAACTTTGGGTATGCTTTGAGGTACACCTATGTGAGAATGGGGCTGTGGTATACATGTATATATCATATCATATATATATATATATTATGCACCTCAGTTAGTGTTTGCTTTAGATAACATACCTTATAAATATACATGTGCACCACAGTAAGTACAAAACAGCAGGTGTCATTTTTTGAATAGTGAAAATGATATTGAGGAAAGGACTGGGTTAATTAAGCTGGCCACAAGGTTGCCATATGCATAGAAATAAATGGTATAAAATACCGACACAGTGGAAATATAAACACATATGCAGTATAATGTGATCCTTTATTGACAACATTTCACCCACTCAGTGGGCTTTATCAAGTCACAAACAGATCTACCTGGGTGAAACATATGTGAGTATTTATAGGATGAGAATTCTGGGTCAGGTGGAGAAAGCTGCATGTGACAATCTTCTGAATAGATAGTCTAAAAACTTGGGTAGCCTTTAAAAGGATTAAAGTATACGAGTAGACCTTCTGCAGTGTTCCTTGAGTCTAATGTTCTTATGTGGGATAGCGATGAAGAAGTTTCTTGATGGTGGTGGATGTGGAGGTAGATACTTGGAATGAGGTTTTGGAAAAGATGTTGGAAATGTCTTTGGCAATGGAGTTGGTGGGGAGGACTATGTATCTCTTCTTGGCAGTGTCTTCTCTGGGTGTGTTGAAGATGTTTAATGCCTGTTGTCTGCAGTCTCTGATGAAGTGATGAGGATAGTGAGTTTGGAAAATATGTGTTCAATTATAGTGCATTCTTCCTCAAGGAACTCATTGTGGGAAATACTTGTTCAGTTATAGTGCATTCTTCCTCAATGAGTTCCTTGAGGAAGAATGCACTTTAATTGAACAAGTATCTTCCACAATGAGTTCCTTGAGGAAGAATGCACTATAATTGAACAAGTATTTTCCAAACTTCACTATCCTCGTCACTTCATCAGAGACTGCAGACAACAGGCATTAAACATCTTCAACACACCCAGAGAAGTCACTGCCAAGAAGAGATACATAGTCCTCCCCACCAACTCTATTGCTAAACACGTTTCCAACATCTTTTCCAAAACCTCATTCCAAGTATCTACCTCCACATCCACCTCCATCAAGGACATTACCAGTAACAGACAGGACAAGCTTCAATCCTCTGCAGGGGTATACACAATCCCTTGTAATGACTGCAGCAAATTATACATCAGCGAAACATCCAGAGACCTCCAAACACGTATTTCAGAACACCAGTACACAGACAGATCTGACGATCCAAGGAATGCCTGTGTTCAACACTGAAATTCACACAACCATTTAATAAACTACAGAAACACAAGACTCATTGCCAGAGAGACAACACTCAATACTGAAGAATCCTGGAATCATCACTTATCTGTACATCCAACAACTTCAACCAGAACACTGGCTTCTATAACATAGCTGAACCTCTTGCCAAGAAACTTCTTCATCGCTATCCCACATAAGAACATAAGACTCAAGGAACACTGCAGAAGGTCTACTCGTATATTTATCCAATCCCTGTTAAAAGCTACCCAAGTTTTTAAATTAGCTACTTGGAAGATTGTCACATGCAGCTTTCTCCACCTGACCCAGCATTCTCATCCTATAAATACTCACATATGTTTCACCCAGGTATATCTGTTTGTGACTTGATAAAACCCACTGCATGGGCAAAATGTTGTCATTAAAGAATCACATTATACTGCATATGTGTTTATATTTCCATTGCCATATTCATACATACATGTAGGTCCGAAGACAAAAGTCGACTTACATTTACAATTTGTGTGTGCGCATTTACACCTATTTACATATCACAGGTAGTATTCCAAAAACAACATTAATTCTGTAATTTTTGTTTTTAAAGATTAACAGTATTCCTTCTCTTTCTTCAGATATTGCTGAAAATCGCTTGAAAGTTGCAAAGGAACTTGGAGCAGACTACACAGTTCTTGTCAAAACGAGTGATGCTGAGACTTTGGCACAAGAAGTCAAAGAAGTAATGGGCATGCCAGACAAGACAATAGAGTGTAGTGGTGCTGAAACAAGTATTCGTCTTGGAGTTCTGGTAGGTATACTTAATGTTTGTACAGCTTTGTTACCCCCACCACTTTGATCTACCATAATGCTAAATCTCGATCAGTATCACTCAGTATAAAAGATGTTGGCTATGAAAAATTTATTCAGTATACAAGGGCCGTGAGTAGTGTCGAGCTTGCCCGATCCTGCCTCCTCACCCTTGGCTGACAGTTTTAAATGTATAGTGTATTATTATTTTCATGTGGAAGCACTAATCTGCAAGGGCATTACAGTACCTGGAAAATGGAAGAAAGGTAGGGGAAATGTAGCTCCAATTCCTGTATTGATTTAAGAAGTTTCATAACCCAAGGGTCAAATGGAGTCCTAACCATAAATTTTAAAGGGGTGGACTGGTAGGCTAACGAAAGGCCTTGGGAAGATGACCAAAAGCTCCAGCTGCAGGTCATCATATAACTAAGACCTGCATCAGGAAACACCTGTCTTGTTTCCTGACAAACCTTACCTAACCTAACCATAACCCAAGGGTCAGAATGAAGGGCACACTTGGCATATACAGTTAGGTCTCCACTTACATACACATTCCGCTAATACGGACAATTTCAAATTATGGCCAAAACTCGCTGTACGGTTTCTCCCACCTGACTTTCTAATACGGTCACTGCATGCCACCCGGTTTGTTTACATTCTCTTTGAGCACATCTCTCCATTATGTCTGGAAACTTTCCAAAATTTCAAGGGTTTTAAAGTTATTGTGTATTTTATATGTACTCTGATAATTAACTTATGTGTACCTGTACCCAATTAAACTTACACACGTGTGCTGGCATGCGTACACATTAAAATCACTAAGAGGTGTCGCTCTAGTCTTGACTTCATAGTAATAATAATAATACTAATACATAATAATGATAATCACTCATGGGCACATTAACTGTCTTAATTTACATTAATATAGACTACTTTCATTCAACACACGCCGTAATCCCAACAGGTGGGGTGGCCCAAAGGAAAACGAAAGTTTCTCCATTTATACATTTAGTAATTATACAGGAGAAAGGTACTAGCCCTCTTGCACCCGGCATTTTTAGTCCTCTACAACACGCATTGCTTACGGAGGAAGAATCTGTTCCACATCCCAAGGGGGGGGGGGGGGGGGGGGGGTGGCGATAAGAGGAATAACAAGAGTAAGAACTCGAAATGAAAATAGAAGAAAACCCATAGGGGTGTGTATATATGTGCTTGTACATGTATGTGTAGTGTGACCTAATTTAAGTATAAGTAGAGCAAGACGTACCTTGAAATCTTGCATGTTCATTGAGACAGAAAAAAGGACTACCACAATTCCTACCATCATGAAAAACAATTACAGGCTTTCGTTTTAACACTCACTTGGCAGGACGGTAGGTACTTCCCTGGCGGAATGCCTGTCTACCACATACTACCTAGGATTACTATAGCCATTTTCCATTAATTCATCTCTGATGTCATCCTCAAATTATTAATAAACACATTACATAGCACATAAATATGTATTACAAACATACACCCACATACAATAAATTTCACATAAATATGAAGTGTGGAAGTCGGGCAGGGAAAAAATTCTGTTTTCTTTGGTCATCATCAGAGAGAAATGTACGGTATATCAGTCCGCCTTTGACCGAGTGACTCCCCTTAATGCATTTGCTTTGTTTACAATTCTTGGCATGACTCTCATTTACTATTTCTCCCTTCTTTATGATGGTCTCCGTAAAGGTGGTTTTAGAAATGGATTAATTGTGATAAAACATTCTGGAAACGCTTAAATATCTACAGTATTCCCCCAAATTCGCTAGGGTATGGAAGACAGCAAATGAGAAACATTCATTAAACCGTAGCATCTTGGGTGGTGAAGCATATCATTCATAAAATCTATTCCTCACTGACCATAACAAATTTAGAATTAAAGCTCTGAATTGTATAAATAATTTAGGTCTTTGGGATAATATAATTGTAAAAGTTATCACAAATACAGTAATTTAATCAAGAGAAAGGGCAAAGATAGTACTGTGGGCCCCACCCCACAACATCGCTGCAACCACAGACATTCAGAGTGATGTAATTTCTACCTTTCCAAGTTTTAAATGAAGAGAATTTTTGTTTTAACTCACAATCCAACAGCCATCCTCTGTCTCCTGCCAAGGCAGGGTGACTGCATAAAAGAACAAAGCACTAGCTAAATAGCCATCGTGCACTTCTCTCCAAAAGTGTGCTGACATCAATCAGATTACCTCCAACTTCAACATCTAACTCCAGACAATAAATCTGACAACTGGTTTCCCTGAATCCTTCATATATGTTACACTTGCTCACACTCCCAAACAGCATGTCCATGTAAAAACTATTTATGCCCCCACACTCCTAACATACTTGCACAAATCTGCTGAATGCTTAAGCCCCTAAAACTCAGAGGTCTCTTGTGCCCTTCCCTCAACCATTCACTGGAAAGGCCCCCCCAATCCCCCCTCTTTACCTTCCATCCTACTAATTATACACTTTCATCACCCTTTCCTTTCCATCCCTCTACCATTCCCAAAAACATCTCAACAACTCCATGTCACCCACATTGCCGTTTTAATTTCTCACGTTCCAAACCTCCAATGATATTACACATTGCTCTCAAACACAGCATCACTGTCTAGCCTTCTTTTTGCTGTAGGATTCAAAATTCATGCCTCACACCCATATAAGTGTTATTTCTACTATGCACTTTATATATAAACTTTACATATTTCCAGAGGAGAACATATACTTCAACACATCAACAATTATCATTCCAAGGTCAAAGTCACTTAAATCACATTTCTTCCCCATTCTAATGTTTGGTCTGAACAGCAACTGAACCTCTTGACCATGTATGCATGTATTTAAGCATTGTGGTGCTGCCATGTGATTGCCTGATAAATTTTCCATTAATAGCAATGTGGACGGTGTAACCTAATAAAGTAAGTCACTGTTTCTGTTTGCATTACATAGAATGAAAGGGATAAAGCAGCTGTGAAACTAGACGGGATCATGAACAGAAATGTTAAAGGCAGAGGGGATATAGTGTTGTTAGTGGTTGATATTTTTGTTTAATAAATGTGTGAAAGAGGGATTGGCAGAGAGCATGTATAATTCTTTCATATAAAGGGAATGGGGACAGAGAGATTGTAAAAATTATAGAGGAATAAGTTTAGCTGAGTATACCAGGAAAATTGTATGGTATGGTTTATTATTGATAAGAATCGAGGCAAGACAGAATGTAGTGATTGCAGATGAGCAAGGAGGATTTAAAGTGGGTCGGGATGTGTACGATCATCGTGTTTACATTGAAGCATATATGTGAACAGTATTAAGAATTAAAGGTAGAGAATTTTTCATTGCATTAAATGGATTTAGAAAAGGCGATATATAGAGTGGATAGGGAGCAATGTGGCAGATGTTGCAGGTATATGGAAGTAGGTAGTAATTACTAATGGCTGAAGAGAGTTATTATGAGGATATTTAGGCCAGGCTATAGTGTGTAGAAGGAGAGGGAGACTACTTCCCCAGTAAAGGTGGTCTTATACAGGGGATGAGTAATGCACCATGGTTTTTTATAATATATTTATAATTATAGATGGGGTTGTAAAGAGTAAATGCTAGGTTGTTGGGGAGAGGGTGGGATAAAATTATGGGGAATCAAATACAAAATGGAATTGACACAGTTACTCTTTTGCTGATGATAACTGTGCTTTATGGGAGATTCTGAAGAAAAGCTGCAAGAGGTTAGTGGAGCGAGTTTGGAGTGTGTGTAAAGGAAGAAAGTTGAAAGTGAATTATATAAAAGAGTAAGGTGATGAGGTATCAAATGCTATTTAGATATCAAATTAATGAGGTGGAGTATAGAAAAAAGTGAATGTTTGTTCAGATATTGGGAGTGTGACGTGTCATCCGATGGGAATGTAAAGGATAGGTTAACCATAGAATATGAGAAGGAAAAAAAGTGAGTGGTGGCATTGAGTACATGTGGAGAAAATAAATGTTATCTATGGAGGCAAAGGAATGTAAAAATGTATAGTTGAATCACCAAACACACTGTATATGGTGTGTGAAGCTTGGGTTGTAAATGCTGCAGCTAGGGAGGCATAGAGATGTCCTGTCATGGACAATGTTGTGTTGTCAATATATGCCAAGAATTCGGAGTGTGAATTAGGTTGTGGAGTTAATAAAATTATTAGTATAGGTCTGAAGAGGGGTGTTTAGGGGATTGGTCATTTAGAGAGAGAATTTGATCAAAGTAGAATGACATGGGGTATAGTTTAAAACATCTGTAGGGGAAGGAAGGAGGAGTAGGGACATCCTCAAAAAGGTGGAGGGAGGGGGTAAAGGAGGTTTTTGTGGGCAAGGGGCTTGGACTTTTCAGCAAGCATGCGTAGCGTGTGTATGAAAGTGAATGGAAACAAATGGTATTTGGACCTGATGAGCTGAAGAGTGTGAGCAGAGTAATAATTTAGTGAAGGGATTCAGGGACACCAGTTTATTTCATATATGCAATACTTGAACAGGAAATGGGAAGGAGGGGTTTGGATATTGGCAGTTTTTAGGATGTGTTGTCTGTATTCTTTATAGCGTATATGCTTCACCACTGTTGTGATCTGGGCACCTGTGCAAAAACAGTGATTATGTATGAGTGAGTTGCAAGTGTGTGAATGATGAATGAAAGTATTATTCTTTTTGGGATTTTCATTTCTTTTTTGTGTCACCCTGCATCGTGGAGAACGGCAAACTTGAGTTAAAAAAAAAAAAAAAAAAGATTTGTAATTACAGATTACGAAAAAGCAATGGAAAAATGCTAAGTCATACAGTGATTAGATTTTACAACAGTTTTTTGGTGGATTACATTGTATTTACTACACTCGATTGATAAACTCTTGTTAATTAATAGTATAATCATAATAAAATTATACACGTATTTGAGCATTTACTTGTTTTACAGCTACAAGAGCAGACTTATACTGTGGGTGTTTTGTCTTCAGTATGGAGTACAGTATACGTCGTTTTATTATTTATTGTTTATTGGTTGGGCACTTATTCTACTGCCTCTTAATACACATTCCACTCTTGTTCTTTATCCACACTGCTAATAATTTTTTATTTGTTAAGACAAAAACAGTCTTGCTGCACAACTGAGTCATGGTAACAATATGCAACTTTCATGGGCAGCTTTCCTATAATTTTTCCTTGTCCCACTGATTTATAGGCTACAAAGTCTGTGGAGTGAAAGTGTTTGACGCCATGGTCCATGAGAAGTAAAAAATCTGTGGTATTGGCAGCTGCTGCTCGGGAAGTTGACATCAGAGGTGTATTTCGATATGCCAACAAGTAAGAATGATGATTTAATTGTAGTCCTGATAGATAGTACAACTTTCTACTGAAGGGCATTTCATGGAAAGCATGGCTTATTCATGAGCTTTTTTCTGTGCCACTATTCTATTTGCTGATGCACAACCCCCAAATTGAAAGCTAACCAAAGGATTTTGTTCAGAATGAGTCCAATGGATGTCCCAAGCCTAATTTTTTTTTCTAAGAGTTCTTTCTTATGAAAATTAATTTAAATTCAACTTGTGCAGTGTTCAGATTTATTTTTTTTTGTACCTCATTGACCATCTGACAAGGCAGGGTGGACTGGAGAAGGAAACAAATTCACCCTCATTCATTCATTGTCAATGATAAAAGGTTGCAGAAAGTGAGAAACATGTTTGATGATCTCAGAACCTGGGCATGTGTCAGACTGGTTTTGGACTTTCAACACAATACATATTCATTGGTTCCAAATTGTTTTTCTACTGCTGTTCCCATGGTTGCTGCTGCTGTAGAACTGCAGTTGCAGTGGCTACTGCAGCCACTGGGGGTGCCTCTACTATAGTGGAACAGCTGCAGCTACTACACCTGTTTTAGCAACTGCTGCCTCAGCACGTACTGGTTATTGAAACATGCATGACTAGGACATCGATGAATATGGTTGTGGTATGGCAGATGGTGTTCTTATGAATATAAATTGACACTTATTTATAGTATATGTAACACATAAGCAGTACAGTTTTTTTTTCCTTTTCAGTTATCCATCATCTTTGGCCATGGTCGCCTCAGGAAAGATCAATGTTAAATCTCTCATCACTCATCGATTCAAACTAGAGGAAGCTGACAAGGCATTTGAAACTGCTCGCACTGGTGCAGGAGGAGCCATTAAAGTCATGATTTCCTGTGATTGACTTCAACATATTTAGAAGTGAACAATTATGATAAGTGAATATTGAAAAATATAATTAAGTTTTTACAAATATATTCCAGATTAAGGTATTTCAACTTGTAGACCACAGGCCCTTTATTGCTTGCAGGGCCATCAGGGAGGTCTGTGGGAAAGCCCTGTTAGTGTTAATGTGCTTCTTTAATCAATATCCCATATTATTCAGGCAGTAACAGGTTAAAAAACAAAACTTATTAAATCCAAATTTTGATGAAAGTAGCATGAAAAAATACCTTCATCCTGTAACAAAGAATGAAGATTATTATGTAAATAGGGTAGTACAACACTGCTGTGGCCCTGGTTTCCTGGAAGTGAGCAAAAACCTAACCACATTAGAGGACTGGTCCCCTCAAGGGATGCAGTGAGAGGTTCTTGAGTCTAAGGAAAATTGGGGGGGAGTCTTCCTCCCTTGACTTGGGATTGAACCATATTATCTCCGCATTCCTCAAGGACTGTATGACCCCTATGGTTGTTACTTTTCCCTAAATTAAAAAAATGGATTGGAGCCTCTGGTTTACAGAAAAACAACACCTAAAATGTTAGCACTAACACTTATTATTTGTGTGTAACAGGATACATACAATGAACTCTTTAAATTAAATTTAAACAAAATCAATAGAATGAATACAATCCTCAAGGAGGGTAGCTCTCATGCTAGTGAAGACTTGATTAAGAATTTGAACTACCCTTCTCTTCCTTTATAAAAATTTGATTACATACTATTTCCAGGCATAGTATTGACTCAAGAATATTATTATAATGTTGTGTAGTAAAGGCCTTCCTAAAATATATAGGTATCTGATAAGGCATTACATAAAGCAGCTGTGCTGTATGACCCTTGTAGGTTTAGCACTTTTTTTTATAATAATAATTACATAAAACAGGCTTTAATGTATTACATGCCATCAAAGGATTGATTGCTTATAAATTTTACTCTACTTTGAACTAAACTGTGCATTACACAAATAACCCGCACATAAAAGAAAGGAGCTTACGACGACGGGTTATTTGTGTATCGTTCCAGTCACGGTAGTGTGCCTTTTTTTTGTTATTTAAACTGTGCATTATTAGCAAATAATACTGTTCAGTACTTGCTGTTTCTTTTATGGTCTCAGAGGAGCTACTGTTCCCAACCAACAGGACATTCAGCAAGAACAGACATGTATGGATTGCAGGTGTTTGCATCACATGTATTTAAAAAAGTAGGCAAACTGCATGTACTGAGTAACATATGTAGTAGGTCTGTGTTTCTACACTGGATCCTATACCAGTTTAAGGGTTACTATAATTAACAATTGGTGCTGTATGACCCTTGTCAGTCATACAGCACTTCATTATGATTATAATAATAATATAATTATTACTAAACACAGTATATTTATTTTCTTATATCAAAATTAGGTTATTATTGTTAAATTGCTGTATGACTCTCATGGGCTTAGTGCTTAAATATAATAATAATAAATACATCTTTATTAATACTGTATACTATTTATTGTACACTCTGAAAATAATGGAAATATGGAACTTCTTACTATAAAATAAATATATTTATTCTACCACAAAAAGAAGTTGTAATGTACTAACTAGCTGACAACCATTGTTGTAACACGAGTAGACAGTGAAGCAACTGCTGGATCATTACCCTTTGCTTGAGGCTGAAAAATAAGAAAATTAAAAAAAAATGTGTATTAAACCTTTAACTATATTACTATATTAACAACCCGAATAATACACAACAATAAATTTGTCAGATGAGCATCAGCTAAGGTCTTGCTTTGCAAATTTCTGAGAATTCACGATCTTTAAACAACCCAATCACAGAATTGATGAAGGAAAAAAGGTGGGTGGTGCACCAAAGTAACTGGAGACAAAAAAAAAAAAAAAAAAAAAAAAAGTTACCACAGAGACACAGGGAATATATGAGAGTATAGTGAGCGGTACCAACACACTTATATAGGTGTGAAGCACGGGTTTTAAATGCTGCAGCAAGGAGGAGACGAGAGGTTGTGCCTAAGGGCAATGTGTGGTGTAAATTATTATGCAGAGAATTCATAGTGTCAACGAGTTGGTATGTAGTTACTAAGGGCTGATGGAGGGGCTTTGAGGTGCCTTGGGTCCATTTAGAGAGGATGGAGCAAAACAGGATGACTTGGAGGGTGTATAAATCTGTAGTGGAGGGGTAGGGGTCATCCTAGGAAAGGATGGAGGGGGGGGGGAGAGATTTTGTGCAAAAGGGGCTTGGACATACAGCAAACGTGCGTGAGCGTGTTAGATAGGGGTGAATGAAGACAAATGGTTTTTGGGAGTGTGAGCAGGGTAATATTATTTTGTGAAGGGATCCAGGGAAACTGGTTAGCTAGACTTGAGACCTGGAAATGGGAATTACATTGCATGCACTTTAAAGGAGGGGGTTTGGGATATTGGCAATTTGGAGGGACATCTAAACTGTTGTACCCGAGTGCCTATGCAAAGACAATGATTTTGTACAAGTGATGGTGAAAGTGTTGAATGATGAAAGTTTTTTCTGCTTCTTTTTTTTTTCTTTCTTTTTGGGTCACCCTGCCTTGGTGGAAAATGCCAGACATGTTAAAAAAAAAATACAATTTGTAGTAGTTCTTGTGATTTTATAGCCAATCTTTGTTCTAACAATAATATTAGGTATGAAAATGGTAGTCAGTCATAAGCACACTGACACTTGAACATGTTTATATAAGGACATGTTTATATATTATAAGGACCTGCCTCGCATGGGCCAGTAGGCCTTCTGCAGTGTTCCTACATTCTTATGTTACCTGCTTTGGTCACATACTATTGTCAGAAATCTATCAGTGGAACCGCTACTTGCGAGTTAAACTGTTCCATGACCTTGCTTGCAACGATTTGCTTCTTTGGCAGAGTCAATTTCCTCATTAAATTAACGGAAATGCAATCAATCCTTTCGAGTGGAATTTTTACAACAAATAAATGATCTGATGTATCTGCTGATCTGCTGCCCTTTATAAACATACACATACTGAAGTGTACCATCAACCTTTAATACCACCTATACATAAACTACTAACAAACTACTAACAAAGCTACTTTCATATCATGCTATATTATAATCTTGTACTTATTTATGATCTTTTTTTTAAAAATATGTAATACTTATTACTGAACCTCTTTCTATAATACATAATTTAATAAAGGCCCTCCCCCATTTTGATTCCCTGGCACCCAAACTTACTTACAGACTCTACTCCCTCCACAACATTTTACCCACTTTAGCATTTAGCATTATGATCCCCCACCGACAACAATACTCTTTCCATATCCAAAACTCCTATGCACTCACTCAACATCCCAAAATAATATCTCTCACCTCTACACTGTCTCTCTTCTCCAGGTGCACCAACCACTTAATATAACCCCACTTTTCACCATCCCCACAACCCTTATTAGTACTCTGCATAATCCTTGAATTTATTACATTTACATCTTCCCTCTTTTCCTGCCATAACTGATCCTTCAACATTATTGCTACTCCTTCCTTAACTCTATTAGAAACCTCTGACCTAATCCCAGTACTTTTCCCCACTGAAACTCTCCTACTCCCTTCAGCTTTGTTTCACTTAGAGCCAGGACATCCAGCTTCTTTTCACTCATAACATCCACAAACATCTCTTATCATCCGCATTACATCCACACACATTCAAACATTCCAACTTAAAGGTTTTCTTCTTTTTATTTTTAGTAAGCTGTATGGGAAAAGGGGGTTACTAGCCCATTGTTCCCGGCATTTTAATTGACTTTTACAACACGCATGGTTTACGGAGGAAATATTCTTATTCCACTTCCTTGTGGATATAAAAGGAAAATAATAAGAAAAGCCAAAGAAAACTCAGATGAGTGTGTATACATAAATGTGTAGTGTGGCCTAATTGTAAGTAAAAGTATCAAGATATATCTCTTATCTTGTATGTTTATGAGAGAGAAAAAAAAGACATCAGCAATTCTTCTTTTCTTTCAACAAACCAGCTGCATCCCACCTAGGCAGGGTGGCCTAGAAAGAAAAATGAGTGTCTCTTTTTGAATTTAGTAATTTGTACAGGAGAAGGGGTTACTAGCCCCTTGCTCCCAGCATTTTAGTTGCTTCTTACAACACTCATGGCTTATGGAGGAAGAATTCTATTCCACTTCCCCATGGAGATAAGAGGAAATAGACAAGAACTAGTAAGAAAATAGGAGAAAACCCAGAGGGGTGTGTATATATATGCTTGTGCATGTATGTGTAGTATGACCTAAGTGTAAATAAAAGTAGAAAGATGTATCTGAAATCTTGCATGTTTATGAGACAGAAAAGACACCAGGACTCCTACCACTATGTAAAACAAATACAGTTTTCTGTCTTACACTCATTTGGCAGGACAGTAGTACAGTGGACCTACAACCAGCGATGGCATCGATTAACGATAAATCTGACTAGCGATACATTTTAACGCAAAAATTTTGCCTCGATTAGCACTTAAAAACCCGACCAGCGCTATTCGTTCCATACGAGACGCGTCCACTTTGGCCTGAGCGCGCCTCACTTGTCCCGTGGGTGCCAATGTTTACAAGCCAGCCACTGCTGTCACTTCCAAACATACAACTGGAACATTTCATATTATCACAGCCTTTGTAGTGATTGCACCTGCAAAATAAGTCACCATGGGCCCCAAGAAAGCTTCTAGTGCCAACCCTACAGCAAAAAGGGTGAGAATTACTATGGAGATGAAGAAAGAGATCATTGCTAAGTATGAAAGTGGAGTGCGTGTCTCTGAGCTGGTCAGGTTGTATAATAAACCCCAATCAACCATCTCTACTATTGTGGGCAAGAAAACGGCAATCAAGGAAGCTGTTCTTGCCAAAGGTGCAACTATGTTTTCGAAACTGAGATCGCAAGCGGTAGAAGATGTTGAGAGACTCTTATTGGTGTGGATAAACGAGAAACAGATAGCAGGAGATAGCATCTCTCAAGCGATCATATGTGAAAAGGCTAGGAAGTTGCATGACAATTTAATTAAAAAAATGCCAGCAACTAGTGATGTGAGTGAATTTAAGGCCAGCAAAGGTTGGTTTGAGAGATTTAAGAAGCGTAGTGGCATTCATAGTGTGATAAGGTATGGTGAGGCTGCCAGTTCAGACCACAAAGCGGCTGAAAAATATGTGCAGGAATTCAAGGAGTACATAGACAGTGAAGGACTGAAACCTGAACATGTGTTTAATTGTGACGAAACAGGCCTGTTTTAGAAGAAAATGCCAAGCAGGACGTACATTACTCAGGAGGAAAAGGCACTCCCAGGACATAAGCCTATGAAAGACAGGCTTACTCTGTTGATGTGTGCCAATGCTAGTGGTGATTGCAAAGTGAAGCCTTTATTGGTGTATCATTCTGAAACTCCCAGAGTGTTCAGGAAAAACAATGTGTCAAGGCTAATTTGTGTGTGCTGTGGAGGGCAAACAGTAAGGCATGGGTCACTAGGGACTTTTTCTATGACTGGTTACACCATGCATTTGCCCCCAATGTGAAAAATTACCTAACTGAAAAGAAATTAGACCTTAAGTGCCTCCTGGTATTAGACAATGCTCCTGGTCATCCTTCAGACTTGGCAGAGCGACTTTCTAGGGACATGAGCTCCATTAAGGTGAAGTTTTTGCCTCCTAATACCACTCCTCTCCTGCAGCCCATGGACCAGCAGGTCATTTCCAACTTCAAGAAACTGTACACAAAAGCTATGTTTGAAAGGTGCTCTGTAGTGACCTCAGAAACTCAACTGACTCTAAGAGAGTTTTGGAAAGATCATTTTACCATCCTCAATTGTGTAAACATAGGTAAGGCTTGGGAGGAAGTGACTAAGAGGACCTTGAACTCTGCTTGGAAAAAACTGTGGCCAGAATGTGTAGACAAAAGGGATTTTGAAGGGTTTGAGGCTAACCCTGAGAATCCTATGCCAGTTGAGGAATCCATTGTAACATTGGGGAAGTCCTTAGGGTTGGAGGTTAGTGGGGAGGATGTGAAAGAGCTGGTGGAGGAGGACAATGAAGAACTAACCACTGATGAGCTGCTAGATCATCTTGAACAGCAAGAGGGCAGACCTAGGGAAACTGCTTCGGAGGAGGGGATAGAGAAATTGAAGAAGTTGCCTACTTCTAAGATTAAGGAAATGTGTGCAAAGTGGCTTGAAGTGCAAACCTTTTTTGATGAAAATCACCCTGACACAGCTACTGCAAGCCATGTTGGCAACCTGTACACTGACAATGTTGTGAACCACTTTAGGAAAGTCATAAAGGAACGAGAGGTACAGGTATCTATGGACAGATATGTTGTGCGACAGAAGTCCAGTGACTCTGAAGCTGGTCCTAGTGGCATTAAAAGAACAAGGGAAGTATACCCAGAAAAAGACTTGCTACCTCAAGTGCTAATGGAAGGGGATTCCCCTTCTAAACACTAAGAAGATCAACGGTCTCCCCTCCTCCCATCCCATCAATCATCACCAGATCTTCAATAAAGGTAAGTGTCATGTAACTGTGCATGTCTTCTTCAGTTTGTGTGTATTAAAATTAATATTTCATGTGGTAACATTTTTTTTTTTCAATACTTTGGGGTGTCTTGCACGGATTAATTTGATTAATTTGACTAACGGATTAATTTGACTAACGATTATTTCGATTAATGATGAGCTCTCAGGAACGGATTAATATCGCTGGTTAAGGGTCCACCGTGCTTCCCTGGATGGTTGTTGTCTACCAACCTACTACTATATAAAATGTTCTTTAGAAAATGGAATTACTCCAGGAACACAAATACGACTTAACTTTTGTCTTTCCTAAAATGCTCGGCTTATAATGGGCCCCACAACTGCCAATGCTTGATGTACTTGTATAAACCTCATTTTGTAATTTATAATTAATAATTTGTTTAGTTTTATTCATGCATAAGTATAAATTTAACCATTATAGATTATTTCTTTATTCTGTAATTTTACCTTAATTTTATACTTTCCCAAAATGATGTACAGTATGTGGGCTTGCAAACAATTACTTAATCTTAGTTTTCTTAATTTTACCCATTATGTAAAGCTATAGATTATACTGTTTTATGTGAGAAAACACTAATAGTGCAATGTAACCACTTACAAGTGGATGTTATTCTTAACATAATCTAGTATAATCTACACATATTTTAGTAGGCTATGTGCTTGGAAAGATGCCATTCAAGAACAATGTCATAATACCAGTGCAGGAAAAATTCACAAACCGGTAATGAAAACTGAACTTAATAATGGTTTAGGACAGACCAAAATAATATCCAGTTTTAATTTCCAATTTAAGGGTTTGCTGTGATGCCAATTAATCTCAATAGTTGCAACATTGCATTCATGAATGAGGAATGTCACTTACCATTATGTAAACATGTGTAGGTAAAATGCGAGCTAATAGAGCATCTAAGGAAGTTGGTTGGCCTGGAGAGTGGGATTCTACACTGAGTGTTAACTTTGGTAAGTGAACATTTCCAGCTAGCAGAGGGTATAATGTATATGTCACTTGTTCACTGCAACCTGGCAACACACGTAATCGCACCTGAAAATTACATTTTATAAATACACCAAATACATTATATGCAGTACTGAAAAACCCTCAGATTCACAAAGGTTAGGTTTGTAGAGGTCCTTGCAAATTCATAAACCACAAATGACTAAATTCTGTTGGTATAATAAATTTTATTTAAAATTAGTGCTTATTTTGTTTCAGAGACCATATCTCTTTAAATATCACTACTTAGGTTAAAACTGACATCGATAAGAAAAAGAAGAGACATTTGGCCTTGGGATGTGCCAAACATCCAAAATTGGATTCCATTTAAAAGCACGTGAGTAAATGAAGCTATTTGGAGAAAATCCTTTTGATGTTTTCAGTGGCTTGATTCTCACCAAAGTTTGAAAAAAAAATTACCATCATTCATTCATTCAATCACTGTCTTGCCAGAAGTGTTCTCACATCACAATTCAGATTTCCTCCAGCTGCAACATCACCCCCTCCTTCACAGTGCAAGTACTTCCCTTCCTGTCTCCAGGGCTCTAGTTTGGCAAATTTTGGAATTTGACTAGTACAGTGGAACCTCGGTTTTCATGATTAATCCGATCTAAAAAGTCTGACGAAAACTGAATCGTACGAAAACTGAAGCAATATTTCTCATAAGAAATAATGTAAATCCAATTAATCTGCTCCAGACACCCAAAAATATTAACAAAAAATACATTTTATAGAGAATAACTATAGTTTTACATACAGAAAACAATGAGAAATAAATATAAATGACTAATGAAATGGATAAATGAACATTTAACATCACTTTTACCTTTATTGAAGACTCTTGTTGGCATATGGAAGAAGGCGACGAGAGGTTATCATTTGGAAGGGGAATCCCTGTCCATGAGGACTTCAGGTATAAAGGCCCTATCTGGGATACTTCCCTTCTTTGTCTTTTACTGGCACTAGGACCAGCTTGAGAGTCACTGTACTCCTGTCAAAAAAAATCTGTCCAGAGAGGTCTGTTTCTGGTGTCTCTTTAAGATTTACTAAAATGGGAAAAGGTATTGTCGTTGAATGTTGCAGACATGGCTTGCAGCAGCTTTGTTAGAGCGATATTTCTCCCCTTTGTACACATGTCCTTAATCACTGAAGAAGGCACATTCTCCCCTCTCTTCCTCCTCCTCTGAAGCAATTTCCTCAGCTGCAGTCTGTTGCTGTTTCAGTTGAAGGTATTGCAGCTCTTCAGTGGTTAGCTCTTCCCTGTGGTTGTCCACCAACTTTTCCACATCCTGGCCACTCACATCCAACCCAATAGATTTCCCCCAAGACACAATAGATTCCACAACAGGTGTAGGGTCATCAGGGTCAGCCTCAATCCCTTCAAAATCCTTCTCGAGGAGACATTCTGGTGGATGCGTTTGATACGGACTGTTTTCTGCTCTATGAAAACTGAGCGGATGTACGAAAACTGGGACAAAATTTCAACGAAAACCGAATCCTACAAAAACTGAGGCATACAATAACCGAGGTTCCACTGTATTTATATTTTAAAATGAATTCAACATAGCTCCTCTTGTAATATTACTCTGAAAATTACAAATTACAGGAGGAATAAAAACCAAATTACAGTGAATAAAAGATTTCTTATTTGAAAGACAAATGTTAACAGGTATAAAAGGTTAAATGACACATAGTAATGTCACCAGGAGGGTGCTGCAAGAACTGGGACTTGTCTCAATATGGTTTCTAATTAATATAAATGACTTACCAGAGGGAATAAGCATGTTCATATATGAAACAAGTTACCAGACTGCAGCAAAAAAAGATACATAGGCTTACTTAATCACCTAATTGAAGTTGTCTCCCTTGAAGTACTCTCCTTGGAAGGCTATACATTGATACCAACACCTCTGTCACTTCTCCAAACATATCTGGAATGCTTCTTTTCCTAATGGCATGTATCACAGCCTGCTAGTCCGCCTGAATCTCCTCCACATTGATAAAACACCACCCCGGGTGCTATTTTTATTTTTGGGAAGTGAAAGAAGTCACTGGAGGCTAGATCTGGGGAGTGGGGAGGGTGGTGGACAACCACCATGTTTTTAACCAGAGAAATACTGGACAAACATTGCTGCATGAGCAGGGGCATTGTCATGGTGAATGAACCAATCACTGGACACCCACAATGCTGGATGTTTCCTTCTTATGTCTTCCCTCTATCTTCTCAGAACCTTGATGTAAAAATTTTGGTTAACTGTCTACACAGATGGAATAAATTCTTCACGAATGATTTAAACTTTGTCAAAAAAGCAATGAGTAAGCACCTGACTTGGTATGCCTTTTTTTCGACTGAGTGAGTTGGGACTTTTTCACTGTGAAGACTGTTGCTTGGTTTCTCGGAAGTAGCTGTAGCTCCAAGTTTTGTCATCAGTAATGACCTCATCATCTTTGCACATTCTTCCTCTTCCACATTACTCCCTGCAGCACTGTATGACCATCTTAGGTTTAACACTGTATCTGATTATATTTTATACAATATAAATAAAACTGTGTATGTGTGTGTTTGGAGATGTAGGAAAATTGTCAGGCAAATCAACATTATATGTGCAGTGCCAGAACCATAATACAGTGGACCCCCGGCTTACGATATTATTTCATTCCAGAAGTATGTTCAGGTGCCATTACCTAACGAATTTGTTCCCATAAGGAATATTGTGAATTAGATTAGTCCATTTCAGACCCCCAAACATACACGTACAAACGCACTTACCTAAGTACACTTACATAATTGGTCGCATTGGGAGCTGATCGTAAAGCGGGGGTCCACTGTACATAAGAACATAAAAAAGGAGGAACACTGCAGCAGGCCCACTGGCCCATATTATGATTGCAGTAACTAGTGACATGGTCCTCAGACAAATAAAGAAACTAAAACCTAACAAATCCCCAGGCCCTGATGAACTGTTTGCAAGGGTGTTAAAAGAATGTAAAGAGGAACACAGCATACCTTTGGCTAAT